TAAAGGCAAAGCTCACCTTAAAAAAAATAATAGTAATAAATATACACAAAAAAGTGCATTTATTTTTTTCCCTCAGGAGCCTGCAGAGCATTGCTCCCACAATTATGGAATCAAGGGTGCATTGTCAGGCTCCTGCAGACACTTGCTGCAGCTTTCTGCCCGTACCTTTGTATGGGGATTTCTGCCTGAAAGCTGTAGGAAGTGTCAATAGACTACATAGGCCTGGGCACACCATAACCACCCCATGCAGCTCACATTCTGTGTGGCCCTTTCCTTTTGTAAATTAACAGTGAGTGATTGGTACCGTTCATTTATGACTGAAGCATAGTAAACTTTTTACCATGCTTTGATTTGTCAGTGAACAGCAGAGATCACTTCCCATTCATTCACTGTCCAGTGCAGCTGAGGCTGCAGAGAAAGGGACTGGCGAATCTCTGTCCTCAGTCCCTTTCTCTATCTTAAAGAATAAGTTCACCTTTTGGACAAAAATAATAAATACATTTTTTTGCAGGTAAAAAAATGTACATTTATTATTTTTGTCAAAAGGAGCCTATAAAAACATTACACAAGTGATCAGTAGATTGCTGATGCCATGCAGGTCTCCTGCAGACCTGTCAGAATATCTGCTTGCCGTACGGGATGTATGAGCAAGCAGATATACTGACAGGAAGCTTCAATTAATTTCTGGGACTTGTAGGCACTCATTCACAGAACTCTGTGAATGAGTGACATGGCCATGTGGGGGGAGCCCGGCATGACCACGTTGTTTTCAAATCTGACAGATAGTACAGGGAGAAGTTATCCCATACTATCTCGGAGGGAGGGAGGGGGCAGGGGATGTGGCTGTTGCTATGGGAACATGTTACATGTTCCACCCTAAAACAGGTGGAACATGTAACACATTCCAAAGGTGAACTTATCCTTTAAAAGTGAGACATCAGGGGTCTAAACCCCTGATATTTCATCAAAGCTGCCCAACTGGGCTAAATAAATAAAAAATAATATTGTAAAAAAAACAGTTTTAAATAAAAAAAAAAACATAAAATAGAACTAAAAAAAAAATGACACCATCCACAGTTTATTACATACTAAAAAGGTTTGGGCACATTTGTAAAAGAGTGTGTGTGAGTGTGTGTATGTATGTGTGTGTGTATATTATATCATATATATATATATATACATACATACACACACACACGTGTTTGAGCTTTGGGATGCACACACCCTAATGCAATAGGCCACGGACACCTACCGTATGATGGACTATGAGAGTACTCACACTGTAGTGTATTTATTCATAGATTCCTGTGAATAAATGTCACAGTTGTGCAGGAGGAGCCCCACACAGTCATTCTGTTTTTTTATATCTAACAGCAGGTGTAGGGAGAGGATCCCCCACCTGTTGTCATGAGGGAGGGGGAGATTGGGTGTGTGTTGGGGGGGTGTACTGGCTGAACACGTAACGCCCTAAATGCTGGTGTAACTTTCAGGAAGGTGAACTTATCCTTTAACATTCAGGAACCCTTTAGCTAACTTTCAAGTCTAAGGGAACCCAATACAATTTTTTTATTATTATATCTACAGCTACACTACATCAGCATGAAGAGCAACTTAAACTTTAGGAATACATAAAAGAATAAGAAATGTGGAACTTTTGCATATTTTGAAACCTGCTCTGTATGGCAATTATGTTCAGTCATACTACTGAAATAAATGACAATAACGTGGACATTGAAAATTGTTGCATTTTCTCTTATTGATGGGTCAGTAAATCACTTCTTACACTGATGGTCAGTAAAATGTTCATTTTCATGGTTGGTTAGAAGAGCCTCCTTAAAATAGTGATCAGTGAAATGGCTGTTTGCATTGGTACATAGTGGAGTTGGACCCCTGTAGATTGTTGATCATTGGGTGATTACACTGGTGGTCATTGGGAGATGGACACCATTCCAGTGATAAAAAGCAGGGAGAATGTCCTTATATTGGTGGACAGTAGGAAGAATGTCCACCTTAAAGATCTAAAAAAAAACTAAAATAAAACTGATGTCAGTAATTGCTTATCTGGGCGGCGAAAACTGCTCATTGGCCAAGTAACCCCTAGCAACCTCTGAAGGAACCCTGGCTGAGGAAGAGTCCATTAAGAAACCCTTTGTCTTATGTGTTCATAATTGGTGATTAATCAGTAGCAGGTTTGATGACACTGAGCTACTAAAAATCACAAGTGTAGTTCTGAAGATGAAATGCAAGTGTAAAACAGCCAGTCCAGCACGGTCAGCAGTAGTCACCTCAAGGTATATTTTCAATGAAAACATTTTGGGAAGGGCCTGATATACACATTTCCTGGAATGATGGGTTAAGAGCCTGACTCCAACACATATGACCTGATAAGGCTCACTATTGGTCCATTACTGTGATTGGTTTGCCTCACTGACTGCTAATCAAGGTTTAAGGGGCAGAATAGGGTGGAACCAGGCTCTCAGCCCATTGGAATAGGAAATATGTGTATATCACATTACCTGGTTTGCATACATTGAAAGAGAATTTAACATGTAAGCACCTCTAGGTATCCGCTATATGCTGAGAACGTTGGATTACATGGTCTTTACATTTCAGGTTTATGTTCATTAAAAGGTGAATCAATGTATTGCTCTAAGAGGGCATGCATGACATATGGGCAAATGGTATTTTCAGCCTTCATGCTTCTCTCATGATAGATTGTATCATTGGTAAAAATAAAATGAAGGTAAATAGCTGTGAGCTTAAAATACATTAGCATCTTGTCAGGAATGGACTGGCCAGCAATAGTGGGACTCACCTGCCTTATGAGCTGCAGTACCAGGGCTGGCCAGCGGGTGCTCCCAGCAATCAGAGACTCAACCTTGCAGCCAGTCAAACACCTGGAACTAATTATACTGGTGTATTTAAGGGACATTCAGACCTGCAGACTGGGCCTTGGTGTGTGTTTCTCCTGGGCCCTGTTTCCTGTTCCTGTTCCTGTCTGATTCTCTGCTGACCCTGCTCTGATCCTTGGCTTGTCTGACCATTCTCCTGCTCCTGATCCCTGGCTTGTCTGACCATTCTCCTCTGCCTGACCCACTGTACCACGCTGCCCGCTACCTGCTGAACCTGGCTTGTGACCCCGACCATTCTCCGCTTGCTCCCCCTGTACCTACCTGCCCGATTGATATTGACCCGGCCTGCCTGACGACGCTTGCATTGTATGTACTGTTATCTGTGGGTGGTTGGTTTGTTTTTGCACTGTGTTATGTTTTAGTATTGCACTGCGTTTATGTTTGTATTGTTAGTGTTAATAAATTACATTGTTTATAACATATCTGAAGTCTGCATTTCCCTGCGTCAGTCACACACCTCTGGTCATACCCGGGAGCCCTGACATTACACCAAGGCCAATCCTGACCAGAAGTGGCTGCACAGGGAAGCCATCTTGGTTTGTTGATGGGAAGGATGGATCTTGATGAGGTTGTGTATTTATATCTGCTAGTGTTTGATGACAGAGAGTATGCTTATCAAACTCTGAAGGAGTATACCCGGGATGAACTGCTAGAATGTATACGGCTCGCTCATGTTCTAGTAGATCAGGGCACAGAATTCTCTGAGGTGCAGCAGCCATTGATTCAGATTTGTGCGGAGTTGGTTTCATCTGGTACATCTGAATGCAGGGATGAATTTTTGCCACCATTTAGTGCCGACCAGGTAGAGTCCCTGGTATGGTTATTAGAGGATGATGTGGATTGCTTCTTGGAGCATTATGCTGCATGTTCACCACAGACACTAAGAGATTGTATAAAAACGCAGTGCAGTCTTTGGTCAGACAGGCTTTGTGTAAGCTCAGCTTTGTTCAACCCCTACTGCAGACATGGACAGATTTGTTGCACCCAGCCTCAGCTTACAAAAACCCAGTCCTGCTTCTAATCTATTTCCTCAAAGCTCTATTCCTGCATTCCCAACAGCTCCTCCTGCCCTGCTATCTACCGCATGTCAGTACCCTGTTCCCACTCGCTGCACCTATCCTGCCTTTAACCCTGTAAAAAAGCCCTCTGTAGCAACTGCTCCCTCTCCTGTTCCATCCTCCAGCTCTTCTCTGTCTCCAGCTACTCCATTCGTTTGCAGACCTGCGTTTACTTGCAGTGCTCCAGTAGTTAAAACCAGAAAAAAGCGAAAATTCTTTCCAACCAATACCATCCTGCCAGTATCCAAACCGGTGAGCCTGCCTTCCGTGGTTTCAGCCTGAAGCCTCTACTCAGCCTGATGCCTGTACGCAGCCTGATGCCTCTACTCAGCCTGATGCCTCTACTCAGCCTGATGCCTCTACTCAGCCTGATGCCTCTACTCAGCCTGATGCCTCTACTCAGCCTGATGCCTCTACTCAGCCTGAAGCCTCTACTCAGCCTGAAGCCTCTACTCAGCCTGAAGCCTCTACTCAGCCTGAAGCCTCTACTCAGCCTGAAGCCTCTCAGCTCTCTACTCAGCTGAAGCCTCTACTCAGCCGGATGCCTCTACTCAGCCGGATGCCTCTACTCAGCCTCAAGCCTCTACTCAGCCTCAAGCCTCTACTCAGCCTCAAGCCTCACTCAGCCTCAAGCCTCAGCCTCAAGCCTCTACTCAGCCGGATGCCTGCATTCAGCCTGATGCCTCTACCCAGCATGATGAACTGATCCAGCCTGACGATCCTATTAGGCCAGTTGACTCGATGCCCGCTGTTGATCCAGATGATCCGGTACCTGATGCGGTACCCGCTGTCGTGTCAATTGACTCAGAGCCCGCTGTCGTACCTGGTGACTCGGTGCCCACTGCCTTGCCAGATGACGCGGTGTCCGCTGCGAGGTAAATGACCTGATGCCTGGTGACCCAGTGCCCGCTGTCATATCTGGTGACCCGATGCCTGCTGTCGAGCCAGACGATCCAATGCCTGGTGACCCGGTGGTGCCCACTGCCTTGCCAGATGACGCGGTGCCCGCTGTCGAGCCAGACGATCCAATGCCTGGTGACCCGGTGCCCACTGCCTTGCCAGATGACGCGGTGCCCGCTGGCAAGCCAAAATGACCTGATGCCTGGTGACCCAGTGCCCGCTGTCATACCTGGTGACCCGATGCCCGCTGTCGAGCCAGACAATCCGGTACCTGATGACCCGGTGCCCGCTGTCGTGCCTGGTGATTCGGTGCCCGCAGTCTTGCCAGACGACTCGGTGCCCGCTGTTCCGCCAGACGACTCGGTGCCCGCTGTTCCTCCAGACGACTCGGTGCCCCGTTCTGTTCCGCCAGACGACTCGATGTCCGCTGTTCCGCCAGACGACTCGATGTCCGCTGTTCCGCCAGACGACTCGATGTCCGCTGTTCCGCCAGACGACTCGGTGCCCGCAGTTCTTGCCAGACGACTCGGTGCCCGCAGTCTTGCCAGACGACTCGGTGCCCGCAGTCTTGCCAGACGACTCGGTGCCCGCAGTCTTGCCAGACGACTCGGTGCCCGCAGTCTTGCCAGACGACTCGGTGCCCGCAGTCTTGCCAGACGACTCGGTGCCCGCAGTCTTGCCAGACGACTCGGTGCCCGCAGTCTTGCCAGACGACTCGGTGCCCGCAGTCTTGCCAGACGACTCGGTGCCCGCAGTCTTGCCAGACGACTCTGTGCCCGCAGTCTTGCCAGACGACTCTGTGCCCGCAGTCTTGCCAGACGACTCTGTGCCCGCAGTCTTGCCAGACGACTCGGTGCCCGCAGTCTTGCCAGACGACTCGGTGCCCGCAGTCTTGCCAGACGACTCGGTGCCCGCAGTCTTGCCAGACGACTCGGTGCCCGCAGTCTTGCCAGACGACTCGGTGCCCGCTGTTCCGCCAGACGACTCGGTGCCCGCAGTCTTGCCAGACGACTCGGTGCCCGCAGTCTTGCCAGACGACTCGGTGCCCGCAGTCTTGCCAGACGACTCGGTGCCCGCAGTCTTGCCAGACGACTCGGTGCCCGCAGTCTTGCCAGACGACTCGGTGCCCGCAGTCTTGCCAGACGACTCGGTGCCCGCAGTCTTGCCAGACGACTCGGTGCCCGCAGTCTTGCCAGACGACTCGGTGCCCGCAGTCTTGCCAGACGACTCGGTGCCCGCAGTCTTGCCAGACGACTCGGTGCCCGCAGTCTTGCCAGACGACTCGGAGCCCGCAGTCTTGCCAGACGACTCGGAGCCCGCTGTCGTGCCTGGTGACTCGGTGCCCGCCGCTCCGCCTGGGGGTCCGGCGCCCGCCGCTCCGCCTGGGGGTCCGGCGCCCGCCGGTCCGCCCGCCCGGGGGTCCGGCCCGCCGCTCCGCCCGGTGGCCCGCTGCCTGCCGCTCCGCCCGGTGGCCCGCTGCCTGCCGCTCCGCCCGGTGGCCCGCTGCCTGCCGCTCCGCCCGGTGGCCCGCTGCCTGCTGCTCCGTCTGGTGGCCCGCTGCCTGCTGCTCCGCCCGGTGACCCGGTGCCTGCTGCTTCGCCTGGTAATCCGATGTGCCTCTGCCCGGAGTCCAGCCCGATGTGCCTCTGCCCGGAGTCCAGCCCGATGTGCCTCTGCCCGGAGTCCAGCCCGATGTGCCTCTGCCCGGAGTCCAGCCCGATGTGCCTCTGCCCGGAGTCCAGCCCGATGTGCCTCTGCCCGGAGTCCAGCCCGATGTGCCTCTGCCCGGAGTCCAGCCCGATGTGCCTCTGCCCGGAGTCCAGCCCGATGTGCCTCTGCCCGGAGTCCAGCCCGATGTGCCTCTGCCCGGAGTCCAGCCCGATGTGCCTCTGCCCGGAGTCCAGCCCGATGTGCCTCTGCCCGGAGTCCAGCCCGATGTGCCTCTGCCCGGAGTCCTGCCCGATGTGCCTCTGCCCGGAGTCCAGCCCGAACATTTTGCCCAGCTAGGACTGTTTGGGAGCGTCCTGAGGCCGCTCCTTGAGGGGGGGGTACTGTCAGGAATGGACTGGCCAGCAATAGTGGGACTCACCTGCCTTATGAGCTGCAGTACCAGGGCTGGCCAGCGGGTGCACCCAGCAATCAGAGACTCAACCTTGCAGCCAGTCAAACACCTGGAACTAATTATACTGGTGTATTTAAGGGACATTCAGACCTGCAGACTGGGCCTTGGTGTGTGTTTCTCCTGGGCCCTGTTTCCTGTTCCTGTCTGATTCTCTGCTGACCCTGCTCTGATCCCTGGCTTGTCTGACCATTCTCCTGCTCCTGATCCCTGGCTTGTCTGACCATTCTCCTCTGCCTGACCCACTGTACCACGCTGCCCGCTACCTGCTGAACCTGGCTTGTGACCCCGACCATTCTCCGCTTGCTCCCCCTGTACCTACCTGCCCGATTGATATTGACCCGGCCTGCCTGACGACGCTTGCATTGTATGTACTGTTATCTGTGGGTGGTTGGTTTGGTTTGTTTGCACTGTGTTATGTTTTAGTATTGCACTGCGTTTATGTTTGTATTGTTAGTGTTAATAAATTACATTGTTTATAACATATCTGAAGTCTGCGTTTCCCTGCATCAGTCACATACCTCTGGTCACACCCGGGAGCCCTGACACATCTCCAGAGTCAGTAGTATGCTGCAATTCCTTTTCTCCTGAGAAAACAGAATGATCATATGATTTTCTGTTTCAATAGATTTGTTTTTCAAAGATTTAACATAATGCAATGATACAATCAATATCAAGCAAATGACAAGAAAAAAAAAAGGCATACATACATAAATCCAAGAGAACCAAATCTAACAGGCTGGCCCTACCAAATAGTGCGACCGTGTGCCGAGGGTGTGGGATTCAATAACTGTAATCACCAAATCGCAAAAAAAACTGTTAAAATTACAGTTGTGAATGGACATTACAGTAAGATGTAGACTAAACATCAACTCAGTTTCACGGAGAGGTGAGGGAGCAAGAATGTCAAGAAATATTCCCAGTACTGCAAGGCACGAAGCCTTGCTTCCTGAAGCATATTAAGATGGGGAGATTCTGAGGTCTCCCCCGTGACATCCATATAATCTTCAAATGTTAACAAAAAGTGAAAGGAAAGGGGTGAAAAAAAAAAGAAAGTTGGTCCTCCTGATCTGGATCCGCCCACAAGGTGTCATGATTATATATATTTTTTTAAATTTATTTCAGCTATTTATATAGCACCGTCAATTTACAGTGTTTTACATATATATTGTACATTCCCATCAGTCCTTAACCCTCAAGGGGTGTACAATCTAAGGTCCCTAACTTACATTCATACATACACATACTAGGGGCCAATTTAGACAGGAGCCAATTAACCTACCAGCATGTCTTTGGAGTGTGGGAGGAAACCGGAGTACCCGGAGAAAACCCACGCAGGCACAGGGAGAACATGCAAACTCCAGGCAGGTGGTGCCGTGGTTGGGATTCTAACCAACGACTCTAGTACTGCCAGGCGGAAACACTAACCATTTAGCCACTGTGCTGCCCATATATGATTTTATATGCATAAAAGCGTCTAAGAACTCATGCACATGGGAGTACCAATCTGTTGTGTTCAGATATGTGGTTCATATTGATCTAAATACAGTATTGTATGTTATGGGCCCATGCACACTGCTCTCTTTTGGTTGACAGCAATTAGCTGCATAAACCAAAGCTAAAGATCTGTGTTCTTTGTCCTGCTTTTGAACCATATTTTACACTGTAAACATTTGTACTAATGATTATATGTGTACAGAGTTATGGACCCTGGGTGCTGCTGCACAATGCCAACACTTAAACAATAGTGTGTAAGGTTTCTTCACAGTAAGAGCTGTGAAAATGTAGAATAGACTCCCTCAAGAGTTGGTTCTGGCCAGCTTAGTAAATTGCTTTAAAAAAAGGCCTGGATTCTTTCATAGATACACTTGATAAACAGTAACTGGATACTAACCTTTATAGGTAAATTTGATCCAGGGAATATCTGATTGCCTCTCGGGGGATCAGGAAGGAATCTTCTCCCCTGCAGGTGCAAATTGGATCATGCTTTGCTGGGTTTTTTTGCCTTCTTCTGGATCAACTGTGGGTGTAGGATTATAACTTTTTTTTATGGTTGAACTGGATGGACTTTTGTCTTGTCAGCCAGACTAAATATGTAACTATGTAAGCAGTGGGTGCCACAACCACTGATTGCACTGTGTTGGTCTTGAATACGTCATTCATGCTGCGGCACAGGAGCAGAATAACTTTAGTTATTCAGAATTACTGCACATGTACCACTTGAATGACTCATTTAAGGCCAACATGTAAACAATGTGTGATCGGTGGTGCTCGCTGACTACATGCTATTGTATACTTCAGATCTGAATAAGTCATTCACATGGTGGTGGCATATGTGCAAAATGTGCACATCTCAACTCATATAGACATTAAGGGGGGATGACGGGGTGAACTAAGATGCAACATGGATCTACACAGGATCTGATGCCAGCAAACATCCTGCGCAAAACAGTATGGCCATGTGCATAAGGCCTAATCTTTGAGGAGGAACTGATGGCATTAGATAGTAAGTTATCTTGTGACTTAAAGCTGAAGAAAAAGTTACCTTTGCAGTATGTCTTCCTCTGCACTGCAATGCTCGGGAAATTAGACTGATGGAATACTTCCCTTATTCCTTGTACCTGCAGGCTTCCTTCTTTGTAAGACCTGTCTTCCAAAGCTGCTCCTCTTCGCTGTCCAACTTCATGCAGCTCTCCAACATTACCAAGTACAGTGCAATATATGCAAGGATGTCAAGGGCCTGTCCACATCCTGCAAGAGTTGAACAGTGGAGGAGAGTTCCAGATGCTGAGGGAGTTGAGAAGAATAGGGTAAATTCACCTTATTCATCATAGCCATAGTGAGCATGGGCGGACCTCATTGTTGCTGAGCTAGGTGCAGAGAGAGCACACACCTAACTTCTGCAGTCTCCTGGAATTAAAGCCGTAATAAAACCAAATTCAAAACCATATTATATTGCACCTTACCAAACTTTGGATGGGGTGGCATCAGTTTTTTATTTTCTTTGGCTTTTTTCCCCTCAGTTTTCACCTGGTGATCTGGCCAGTAACATGCCTTCTATATATTAATGAGGCACAACCCTGGAGGCATACGTACAGGAGGCACAGCAGACAGCACCATTGTCAGTCTGAGGGGAAGGGGGGAGTAGTGGTGGTAAATGTTTTAGCAGATTACAAATTGAAGCCAAAGTCCAGCTCACACTTTATAATTAGTTACAGCAAACCTTTTTTTTTTTTCCTTTTGGGATAAGGGTTTTGCATGAATAAATAAAAGCTGATCATTTTAATCACCCCTGCCAGTATTACATGGTCTATCTCATCCACCTAAACTGACACATTCTGCTGGATAGTTGAAAAAGCAGGCTTTTAAAGAACAACAGACTTGTTAGCTGGATCCCCTGATAAAAAAAAAAAAAGCCTAAAAAAATTAAACAAATATAGCAATCACATCTAAGAATTGTTAATCTGCAATAAAATATGTTTGCTTTTGGGTTTAACCACTTG